TCATTCTCCTCTTCCAATTTCTGATCCTTCTTTTTAACTTCCTCCTTCTTCCTCCCATCCTCGTTTTCTTCCTCCTCCCCCTCTTCTTCTGCTGCTTCTGTCGTTGCTCCCCCTCCTCCTCCTCCTCTTATTCACCCTTCTTAACTTCCTCCTCCGTCGTCTCATCATCCTTCTTTCCCTCCACTTCCCCTTCATCATCAACATCTACTTTTCACCTTATACTCTTCCTCCTTCTCCTCTTCTTCTTCTTCCTCCTCTTTCTTCTTCTTCATTCACTCTACCCACTCCCTATACCCACTCCCTATAGTTCCTTCTCGCCATTCTTCTAGTCATCAATTTATTACATTTTTTTTTATTCCTATTCTTTCAATGAAAACATAAAATTTGCCAATGTATCACTTAGGAGACAAGTGTTCGACTTGAAATAATGCTGATTATTGCAATGTGCGATCATCTGTGAATTCTAAATTCATTGCAATTATTGTATAATTTAAGTTTAGCAATACTGAATTTGATCATGCATAAATAAATATTTTAGAAATCTAAGCGAATTTCTAACCATATCATCACCTTTTCATTGACTGATGCACTTGAAGAATAAAGAAAGTTATCAGTGCGTAATAGATCTTCCTGCTTTAACGGAATTCTGGAAAAAAATATATTTCAGACAAAAGTAGACAAATAAATCGAATTCTGGAAGCCTTAACTGCAAAATAATTAATATATTTTTCAATTATTGTGATATTTTAACTTTATTTAAATTTATTTAATAAAAATGAAATTAGGAAGTGCATTTACAGCTATTGTGTTGGAACAAAAGTTCGTAGCGTTTTTTCAATCCATGGCGTTTGAACACGTGAATTCGGTTCACATGTGACTGAAATTTATTACTAATGTACATATTCTGAAAGTTGACATTTCAATACGTCATTCTATTTGTGTAAATATTGACTTTTAATGGTTTGTACGTTAAAAACGAAAATGAAAAAAAAAAGAGGTGCGTTTTTGTTATTCGATGCTCTTTTATGCACGAAAAATAAAACAACAACAAACAAAAAAATGTACCGTTTATTGAGTTGCTACCATAGATGAGAGTAAATGTCCGCAATTGCGTCGTTCGGGTTAGAAGTGAGAATTTTGATCTGGTCGACTGAAAATATTCCAGTAGGCCTAAAGTCAATAATAAAGACCCAAAAAGAAACAATGATTAACAATAATCCCGGTTACATGACACGGGACATCGCAAATATACTCCACGTCGCTAGACACCAACAGAGCATCACAATGCGCCTTCATGGCGTCACGTTTTTCACTGATTTGAAGTGGCACGACTACATCGACCCAATAGTTTCAATTACAGCAAGGAAAGTTGGGTCACTGTGTCGTGCTTGGAATTTTTTTCCCCGTCAGAATCCATCTTGCATCTACCATTCGTCCGTGCATTGAATATTACTGCCATATCTGGTCTGGTGCTCCTGCTATTCATCATGAGGTTCTTGACAAAATCAAAAGAAGGATCTGTAATGTAATCGATCCTGACTTGGCATCTTGACTTCAGTTACTTTTTCACCGATAAGACGTGACGTCCCTGTGTCTTTTCTACAAATATGTTAATGGAATACTGCTCTGACGAGCTTATTTTTCTGGTACCCCTTCTACGTGAATTTAAACGTGCTACTAGATTGGCATCTAGGTTCTACCCTTTTACTGTTGAAATAGTTAAATGAAACCTCCATTTTTACCCCAAGAGTTTCTTTTCTCGCACTTCCCACCTGTGGGACTCCCGTCCGTTTACTTGCTTTCCTGCTAATTACAATCTTCAAAAGTTTAAATGCAACGTCAATCGCCATCGTCTGTTCACTTGAATCCCGTCCATCTGTTGTCCTTCCTTCAATCCTCCCTATTCTCAATCTTTCACTTTCACTCCCTACATGCTACTGGCCTTGCTTGGGGTGAAATGATTTAAAAAAAAAACAACAAAAAACAAAAACAATAATCTGTTGCATAAATGTAAGTGTTGTTGCCGACACTGTGGTTTGAAACTAGATCGCCAGTGAGTAACACAGACGATTCCTTTAAGTAGATCACGTGATCATAAAAGAAGTGAATAAATAGGAAGTATCGTGATGCTATACGTTCACTGTTCACTCTTCTTGTCTATCTACTATTGCTATACGTTCACTCTCTCTACTCTACTACTATACGGATTACGATTCTCTTCTGATCATTACACTATTTGGCGATTACTACTTGAACAAGTATTACTAGTACGGATATTATTGGAAGGCGTTACTACTAGTGCCGGCGTCTACGAAGTCTCGAATATAACGAGCTTCAAAGGGGAAGTGATAAGGAGCTTCCGCTTGACATAGCAAAAGTGACAAGTGAAGCCGTCCAACATCACAAAAATACATATATGCATTGTAAGGTATTTGAAATGACGTGGCTACGTGAATTGCTATTATGTTTGTGTGCCTCATGACCTAACCGTAAAAAAGAAACATTAATGGAACGCATTTCCACCTGTGATTCTCTGCTCAGAAAGCAACAAAAATATCCATTTTTGCAAAGAACAATCACAAGCAATGCAAAAATGGGTTGTTTGCAAAAACGTGGAGTAGTAAAGCTCCTTAGAGAAAGCGAAAATGAGCCAATGTTACCCACTTAAAAAGCTGGTATGCATCTGACGAAGGTGATGGCTGTGTAGCTGGTGGAACTGGAAGGGGGAGATTCTTTCTCTAAGTGAGAAGTTGAATTCAGACAAGTACTGTTATCATTCTTTTTTTTTTCCAACGAAACTTTCCTGTCTCTGCTTAGCGTTTGGGATGCGTCTTTGGTAATCCCAATACATCTTCGGATTTCAGTGTCGCATTTTCCGTCGTCTGCTAGAACACTTCCCAGATGTTTAAATTTTTGTACCCGATTCATTTTAGTATTCCCACCTGTAATTTGCACTTTGGATTCATCTTTTTGCTAACGACGATGCATTCTATCTTCTTGTTTATGCTTAGTCCCTTCTTCCCGCTCTTTTTCTTTAGGAGGTTTTGTAGTTTCTTTTACGTGTCTGATATCAGCACTGTCATCTGCATATCTTATACTGTTGATAAGACTGTAGGCGCCAATAAAGAAACCTAGTAGAACTTGTAATTCTCTCAGAATCGCCTCGCTGTATAGGTTGATTAAGTCCTGTAAGAAAACACATCCTTGTCTTACATTCCTTTCTATTTTTGTATAACCGCTGAACTTATTTATTTTTTTATCTTTATGCAGCCGTTTTGATTATTCTAATGTCTTTCGCGAATATGCCAAGGTTGCTGAGCAGTTTTAACATATCTTCTTTGTGGTGTACTTTGTCGAACACCCTTGCGTAGCCTATAAAACATAGGCGCAACGTTCTTCTGCATTTGTATTGCTCTTTCTGATAATAAATATTGCGTTCCTTGTTCCGGTGTCTTTAATGAACCGGCACTGTTCTTGTCTGATTCTGCTGCGCGTCCTATTCATCAGAATTTGGATGATGATTGTTGTTATGTGGTTCATTAGGCTGACTGTTCGGTGCGTTTCACATTCGTTTACGCCTCGTTTCTTACGCAGTGCTATGAAAATAGATCTGCTTAAGCCTTCCAGCGTATCTCCACTGTTGTAGATTTCATTTATTATTTCTGCAATCATGCCTATGCCGAAATCGTCTAAGGCTACCATCATCTCTATTCCAATTGCATCTGGCCCTGCTGCTTTTTTTCTGTTCATTTTAGCAAATGCAGCTTCCAATTTTGATATTTCCGGCCAGTCGTTAATTCTGTGTATTGCGGGGTTGTTCTGTTTCTCTGTGGAAGAGTTCTCCAATATATTCGTTCCAGCACTGAAGAATTTTTTTCTTTCTCTAATATGAGCGTTCCAAGATGCCTATTTCCTTTGTCCTTGATACACATTCTCTGTATTTATGCACATTTTTCGTTTCCTCTTTAGTCTGCCTGCATTTGTTCCTTATTTCATTGTGTAGTTTTCATGTCTTGGCATTGTCCTCTCTCGCCTTTGCATCATGTCAAGAATCTCGTCTGTGATTCATTCGTTTTTCCTTCTTGGTCCATTCTCCTTTGGGATGACATCGTTTGTTGATGTCACTAAAGCTTATTTTAGTGTGTCCCATTTCGAGTTTCCATTTTGTCCCTCGTATCTTCTTTTCACACTGTCCATGTATTTTTCCTTCAACTTAACTGTTAAGTGATATCTATTCTCCTGTATGACAGCAAATGTTGGACAATCTCATCAAAGATGAAGATGAGACTAGAAGCAACAGAAATGTGGTTCTACAGAAGGATGCTAAGGATGCTATGGGAAAAAGTAAAATCTCTAGAAGCCTGTAAAAACCACTTTAACCTATTTATCACCCAGAAAGATGCCAATTTCAGGGGGGAATGGAAGTTGCGTATAACAAAATGTCATATGTAATCGAATAAATCTATGCATAAATATCTTAATATTGTCTTTAAAATTCAATCCCAAAAAGTTGTGAACTTTCGCTCTGACCCAGTTGATACTAACCGATTGACACTGAATCGTTACACCATTCTAAATTCGTGAGCCACCCGAAAGATATATATATATATATATATATATATATATATATATATATATATATATATATATATATATATATAAGTAAATCTATATTTGAAGCGGCCTTCAAGTATATTTCAGTAAAGCAAACCTTATATAAAAATATTTCTTTATGAAAGATTTAACGGGATAAAAAATACTCAAAGTAGAGAAGAAATGACAATATTTGAAAATAAAATAGATATAAAATTAACTCTACACATATTGTTTTCTTCAGAATGATTGACAGTTGATGATATCAGAAATCCGTCAAGGGAATAAAACTGTGATTGTAACTTCAAAGACGAGACGGTGAAGTACATTGAAAAGGTTTGTATGAAAGGAAACTAATTTCAAATTCAAATTCAAAAAGACCTTGACTCGAACAGATAATTAAAAGAATGGCAGCTGTTCCCTGTACATCTATCTATCTATCTATCTATCTATCTATCTATCTATCTATCTATCTATCTATCTCAGTATGTTCCTCTTTATTTTACTAAATGGATATGAAGATTGCTATAGACGCAGCGTGTATTCGAGTTCGAATAAAAGCCAAACTTTTGCTGAATTCTAAATTAGGCATGTTCGATGGTCTTTGATTTCAAATTCAGTCAAAGCTACAATTTTGCTATAAAATCTAATACTTGAATATTGTCTCGAATATTCTAAAAGTATCGGCCATTATTCGTAGGAGAAATTTTAAATCATTTCTCTACTGTTCAACGAAAAATAAAAATTGGCGAGATTTGAAATTTAATTACGCAATTTCGATAAAGAATCGTTATTTTTATTCGCATTTTGCATTGAGTCGACGAAGTAGGGGAATTTTTTTTTTCATTAAGCCCACGTCTTTGCTCGAAAGATTCCACGGATTTCAAAAGCAACATTTATGTCAGATTTTAAAGAATTTTAAGCGCACGTGTTGTAGAGCCTGGTTTAAATCAGTGCAGTTCAGTTTAGTCAAAGTGTTCCTTTGTGGTCATGCCCAAGTTATATTTCATCTTAATTCTTTTAAAAGTATATTCATTAATTAAAGTACGTTTTATGATTAATGTTGTTTCTGCCTTCTCCTTCGACATCGTTTTCTTGTGAGCCTGTGCGCTGTTTTTTCTCGTCACAATCTTATAATGGCAAACGCGCCACTTAAAGAAGACGCCAAACTCTAAGAAAATAAGTGAAGAGTAGTTTCAAAACTTGATGCAAAATTAAATGATCACAGAAAGATATCACGTTAAGAGGATACACTATTGAATATTAATTAAATATGTTAAATATTTGGCAATACTGAATTTTTTTATTTGATTATTTGAGTTTTATTTAAATCATTTATTTTTGTCGTTATTGGATGCGATGCACTGGAATAAATTAATCAAAATATTGATTTTGTTTTTATTTAACATATTAAAATTTAATTATACCCAGAAAACTACATTTTATTGAATCGTAACAATAATTTTTAGGATCAGAGCACACACACACACAAACACACACACACACACACACACACACACACACACATATATATATATATATATATATATATATATATATATATATATATATATATGGTGGACTCTCCCGTCGTATTCGGCGTATGAGGGTCAAGCAACTCAGTTCCTAGGAACCGACAGCCAGACACCAGCACATATGATTTGATTATAGTGTATGTGCCACACGGTCTCCAAACAACCCTCCGCAGGATTTGAATTCAGAGTTGTCTTTCTCCTAGAACAGTTGCAATCCAAGGCTATAGAACCCAGTCTGCCCTGCTATTTTACCCATAACTGGAGAGAGAAGAAGAGGATTCATACCTTTCCCAAGTGTATTATTAGCACGTAAGTGAATGTAAAGGATTCTGTCTGAACGCAGCTTAATTAGGTCTCATTTAAATACACAGAGAGACCTACCAAACTCCATCCGCAACATACTCTTTGACAATACAAATATAATAGCATCATCCACATGTAAAATAGGCTAAAAATAATGGAAGCATTATTAATGAAAAAGAAAAAAAACGCAAGAATCAATAACATCAACCATGAACACAGCCACAATGTGGTGACGTGTTTGCAAAATAAAATATTCATTTTACTCTACATAACAAAAATCCATACATTCAGTTAAAAGCAGAAAAAAATCATTCTTGATAATGGCTAAAAGTATAAAGTAAAGAACTTGGGCATAGAGAACATTCGAACAATTTCTACATAAACTATGTCCAGAAAAGAAAAAAAAAGAACACAAGAGAAATTAAATAAAACTTAACCGTAGTAACTGGTCAGTCGTTTTTAACGAAACTTATATATATATATATATATATATATATATATATATATATCAAAAAACGAAAACGAAACTTTATATATATATATATATATATATATATATATATATATATATATATATATCACATTATGAAATGGCCAAAGTTCGACAATTATTTTAAGACATTTTATGTTTATACATTCTCTGACATTCTCGGACATTCAGGCCGGAAAATGTTTAATACTGTTTATTATAAACAGAGCATTTACTTAAATATTTGTATCTATAAAAAGAATGTATAAACATAAAATGTCTTAATATATATATATATATATATATATATATATATATATATATATATAAGCCACATGCAGACTGTTTCGCTGTATCACAGCTCATCAGTGTGGCTAGACACCGATTGCTTCTAGTGATAAGATAAAGAAAACATTTAAGTAAAGAAAATATATATAATTTCAAACGTTATTAAAGTGGATACTCATATTTGAAATAAATGCCACATTTTTATCTTAAAAAGTGTTTATTACGTCTATCGGGTAGCGCATTCAAGAAATCTTATTAAAGAAAAAAGTGCTCTCTAGCAGGGGATCGAATCTGCGTTCCCCTTTGTAAGAGAAACCAACTTTGGATTCTGCGTGATTTACCACTTGGCCGTATAGAGCGTCACAGTTCCATTTTTAAAGTAAACACACCTCTTCATTTCGAGAAAAAAAAATCTGAATTCCAATCTTCTACATTGTGTGACTCTGTATTAAGTTGTGCTAATCTTTTAAGAGTATTGTCATAAGGAAATACACAGCTACTTCAAGCAAGAAACAAAACGGACAATAAATATTACAGCCAAAGCCATTACGCTAGCTTCAATAATAAATGCTATGACCCTAGTGAGAGAGAGAAAGTTAAAAGGAAATTTAACAATTTTACATTTAGCTAAATATCCATGTATTGTAGCAAAGCAGTACGATAACTATGTTATCCCAGACAACTCCTAATTATCATGCTATTTTACATAGAAAATCATATTTTGTGTAAGAAGGATTACTTTTTTTTTTACTATGGGATGAATTTTCTCTAGCTATTTAGAATTTTAACGTCTTTCACTAACCCTAGCAGCAGTAGGGCTTTTGGTGATGTCTTCTTGAGCTCAAGGTCAATGTCCAATGTGCTGAACATTTGCCAGGGACAACTGCCTTTTGTTTCTTTTCAGCGACTGGCATCAATCAATATAAATTTGGCTTCTCTTCCAATCAGATTTTGATTTCATTCCTCCTACCAGTGATTTTCTTACAAGCCACTGAAAGTCAGAATCACATATTTTTCTACTTTTTCTATTCAATCCACATTTGACATTTTTCATATTTCTTTCTTTCTTTCTTTCTTTCTTTCTTTCTTTCTTTCTTTCTTTCTTTCTTTCTTGCTTTCATTTCGTTTCTTTCTTTCTTTCTTGCTTTCTTTCTTTCTTGCTTTCATTTCGTTTCTTTCTTTCTTTCTTTCTTGCTTTCATTTCGTTTCTTTCTTTCTTTCTTTCTTTCTTTCTTTCTTGCTTTCATTTCGTTTCTTTCTTTCTTTCTTGCTTTCTTTCTTGCTTTCATTTCGTTTCTTTCTTTCTTTCTTGCTTTCTTTCTTGCTTTCATTTCGTTTCTTTCTTTCTTTCTTTCTTGCTTTCTTTCTTGCTTTCATTTCGTTTCTTTCTTTCTTTCTTTCTTTCTTGCTTTCATTTCGTTTCTTTCTTTCTTTCTTTCTTTCTTGCTTTCATTTCGTTTCTTTCTTTCTTTCTTGCTTTCTTTCTTGCTTTCCTTTCGTTTCTTTCTTTCTTTCTTGCTTTCTTTCTTGCTTTCATTTCGTTTCTTTCTTTCTTTCTTTCTTGCTTTCATTTCGTTTCTTTCTTTCTTTCTTTCTTGCTCTCATTTCGTTTCTTTCTTGCTTTCATTTCGTTTCTTTCTTTCTTTCTTTCTTTCTTTCTTGCTTTCATTTCGTTTCTTTCTTTCTTTCTTGCTTTCTTTCTTGCTTTCATTTCGTTTCTTTCTTTCTTGCTTTCTTTTCGTTTCTTTCTTTTTTAATATATCATTTCACTCATTTCCCTTGTTTCTTTCGCCATTTCTTTCTTTTAATCATTTCACCTATTTCTCCCCTTTCTTTCATTCACTCATTCCTTATTTCATCTGTTTTTTATTTATTTCAACCATTTTCTTTCTTTCATTCTTTCTTACTTTCTTTTAATCATTTCAACCATTCATTCATTATTTCTTTCCTTCTTTTTGTTTTTTAATCATTTCATTCATTTTCTTTCTTTCTTTCTTTTTTTTTCTTTCTTTCTTTTTTCTTTCTTTCTTTCTTTCCATTCATTTTTATTTCTTATTTCATAAAACCTTTGCCTTTTTTCTCTCCTTCTAAAGTACCTCCATGTGGTTTAATCGTTAGCAAGTTGGGATTGCAGGCCATTAATAGTGAGTTTACATTTCATTGTTTTTTTTTATCATATGCGCAGTCTTTATTATTTAAATATTTACTTCTTTATGTAACCATTCCACTTTCATTCATTACTCCCCCCCTTCTTATTTTAATCGTTTATTTTCTTTCTCTCGGTTTTTCTTTGTTTCCTTTTATTTCTTTCTTTTCATTCTTTATTCTATTATTTTTATCCGTCTTTATTTCTCAGATGAGGTTCACATTGTTCGGACTGTTGTCCTCATCTTTCTTGCCATATTCACGATGTTTCGGCTGTTGTACGTTCTGGCCTTCTTCAGGCGATTGGAATTCAGAACTGAACACCTTATTTCCTCCACCGAGTTAGATTTTTCTAGTTCCACGTGTCATGCCTATTTCGCATACCTGTTATCTCCCGTTTTTGTTCATCACTGTAGTAGCCACGTACTGAACTCACAACTCTTTAGGCCAAATCACTTGAAGACATCAGTGTGTGAATTTTTAATACGGGGTGCTAGAGAAAAGCAATAATAACAACAAAATTGCAATATGAACTCTGGTAAAAAAACTGTTACTGAAACATTAAGTTTATAAGTCCCAAAAATTCATATACTGATGTCATAAAGGACACATGGCCAAAGCGTTGGCTGGATCAAGTGATTTGATCCAAAGAAGTTGTGAGTTTAAAACCTGGCTATTGCAGCACTGAACAAAAACGTGGAGAGTTGAGTTAAAGGGAGATAACTGAGGTATCTGGAAGGGGCGTGGAACTAGAAGAACCTACCCCTGGATCATCTCCGACAACCTGGATAAAATAAGGGTTCCTTTCGAAATTCCGATCACCTGAAGAAGGCCGGAGAGTACAGCGGCTGACTATGGCAACAAAGATGGGGACAACAGCCCGAATAGTGTAAACTATTATTTTTAGTTCATCATTTCTCCGTCTTCTGTCTTTCATTCTTTTAATAGTTTCGCCCATTTTTCTTTCTTTCTTTTTTAATTATTTCACCCATTTTCTTTTTTTTTACATTCATTTATATTTTCATTCATACCATACGTTTTTACTATTAATTGTATTGTTCATGCATTCTTTATTTTCTGTATAAAGAAATGTCGCAATTCTGTGAGATAAACAGGCCGTTGCAAAAATAAAATAACACGCTTATATATACAGGATGTATCAAAAATACTTTGAAAGCGGGTTCCTCACACGCACCAAAACAAGGGCAAAAGTCCATATAAACATATTTCCGCAAATCCTTCGTTTTTGCGTTATTAAGTTTAAAGTTTACGTTAGACGCTGTTAAATGTGCAATACAAAATGCAATCCAAAAATACTTTTACAGACTTTAGGGGCGGGTTCCAGACACTAAAACAAAGTAAAATGTCCATATAAACATATGTCGCAAAGGCCATCGTTGTATCTCAACACAGCAACTCATAACTCATAGCAAATGTTCAAGATATCCCCCGCTTGCTGCTACATACATTCCGTCGGATCATTAACTGGTGGACCCTTTCAAATACTCCCACACGGTGTCGAATGGTTTCGCTGGCCCCCATGACACGTTGATGAAGCGTCTCTGCATTATTAATGTCTGCTGCATAAACCAATTGTTTTAGGTAGCCCCCACAGGACTGAGGTCAGGGTAATGTGTAGGCCAAGGAACTGGTCCTCACCTACCTATACATCTTTCATGGTAGATAGCCAGTGCATCGCGAACAATGTGACTAAAATGTACTGCAACCCCATCATGCATGAACCACAGGCATCTTCGTATGGGAAGAGATATATCCTCTAAGAGGTCTGCAAGTGTGTGCAAAATAAAAACCCTGTAGAAAGCTCCTGTAAGACTTGTTGGAATGACATATGGACCTACCAGGCAGTTACCTACAATTCCAGTCCACATATTAAACGTAAAATGATGCTGGTGTCGAATCTGTATTGGACCATGGGGATTCCGATCCGCCCACAGATGTTGGTGTATAAATTTGTTATTCCATCTCTTCCAAATGTTGCCTTATCCGTAAACAAGATTGAAGAGACAAACAACAGATCGGTAGTTTGTGCAATAAACCATCGCCAAAGGTTCTCCCTTGGTGAGTGATCAGAGGTTGAAAGACCCTGCACACGTTGTAAATGATATAGATACAGATATTGATATTAAAGTACCCTTCATGCGGTACGATCTCCTGGGTCCACTTCACGTATGCTAATACCTGGATCTTCTCTGACAGCCCGTATAATGTGTTTCTCGATTCGTGCCAAGGATAGCTTGATATAGGTAGATTGATATAGATATGAAGAGAGTGATATAGATAGATATGAAGAAATTGAGACAGAAACAGACTGAGATAGATAATGCGAGATCAAGATAGATAGAAACAGACTGTAATGATAATTAGATAGATGGACAAACATAGACATATAGATAGATAGATATGAGCAGACTGAAATAGAGAGATAAACAGACTGAGATAGATAGATAGATAGATAGATATGAACAGACTGATATATATATATATATATATATATATATATATATATATATAAAGAGGGGAGAAACAGAAATATGATAAGAAAAATGAACAGATAAATTAAAGCTGATTGAAAAACAAAAAAAAAAAAAAGGAAATGCTCTACAGTTCAGAAGCATAAAGTTAAGTGAAGAGAAGATCTATAAAAATAAATTGCAAAGATAAGAGCCGACAGGACTATGGAAAAAAAATTGACATTCTGAAGTAGTCGTGAGCACTCGAAAGGTAAAACCTGTAATAGAAACTCCTTCTCGAGTGGATTGGCCAAGTCTGAAGTGTCTTGTGTTGTTACTGACCTTGAGCCGCAAGCGGCAAATCGAAGAAGTGAGGAGCCTTAGCGTTCACTGAACGTATACTTGCAGTCAGAACTGACTTAAAATAGTTTTGTCTATCACATATGCTTTTTCAGTTTACTAGATGATAAGCCAACACAGATAAAAGCCATGTGGGCGTGTATGCCCACGATTGCGCAAATGCACTTGCACACACATCATGGCTCTTTGTGTGTCCAGTTAGAAACAGAGACGATCTTAGAAGAAATCGGAATTTTAAAATCTATTTGTATATGTATCTCGGTTTCCTCATATTCATATCTATCTATCTATCTATCTATCTATCTATCTATCTATCTATCTATCTATCTATCTCTGTACATATCTATCAACGTGTGATTGAGCAGGAAATCCGACAGCCTGCGCGCGGTTTACGTATTCATAAGGCACACTGATGTAGGCAACGCAATTCCCCTATTGGAGAATGGAAGTCGATGATGGGATTATGAATGTGGACTACAGTGTTCAGGATCCCATTGCTGAGCGTCGGTGCCCTGAAAAAATCCCAAGCAAGCCAAGAATCCAGTGACCCAAAGGCAATCAGAATGCTAATTGGTTGAATCTCGATCTGGAACTCACATTAATCCTTACCAACCATCTACCCATTAGCCAGTAGATCAGATCTTTCTGTAGAGTTATGAACGAGTTTTGTCTTGAGTGGTTTGATGTGGCAACTGCAAGATGGGAAAATAAAGACGAGAAGCGAGTAAAAAAGACGACAGATTCAGAAAGGGTAAATTAAGAGTAGAAGGGAGGGTTTTGAAGCGCCGACACAAAGAAGCTCCAATTCATGAGAGGGCAGACCCTAAAGAACTGCTTAAGGATATTAAAGAATGGGTCTTAGTGTTCTCTAGAGCTGAGAACCAAAGAAAACGTCAAAAGAAAGAGCGACATTCCCGGAGATCATTTTAAAATAATCCTTATGCTTTTGCTAAAAATCTGTTCGCCGAGATTAAGACGTACTGCAGGACGGACGCGAGAACCCCCTGAGGAGAACGTACTCTGATGCTTGGAAAGTTGTTCAAATCCCTCCTCTGAATGACCTTCCTAGGCCCCATGATCCAGAGGTCATGTTTATTGAGAGATTACTAAACCTGAGTGAAATTTGGGAATTCGTTCGCAAATCCCGTGCCATGCACCTGGAATAAATGGAATATCCTACAAGTTATATAAGAATTGTCTAAACGTCCTCAAACAACTCACCATCATCCTCGAACGGGCATGGAAACAAGGTATTGTACCACAAGAATGGTGCCTGGAGGAAGATATTTGTATACTTAAGAATGCAAAGGGCCTTGTAAATTTCTGCCCTATCTCACTCTTGAATGTAGAGGGGAAAATATTTGGTGGTGGGCTCTTTCCCGTCGTATGATGGACTTCTTGCTAGGTAACCATTATATAAATACTGCTGTCCAGAAAGCTGGGATACCTGGCTTCCACGGTTGTCTGAAGCATTCACACATGATTTGGAACTCAGTCCTATCAGTCAAACAATATCAAACTGAACTTCAATTAATTTCGCTTGATTTTGCGAATGCGTATAGATCTGTTCTTCATGAGTTATTTTGAATGTCTTTCGAATTTTTCAATTTCCCTTGTAAGGTTGGGGAAATTATAATGAAATATTAAAGAGCAGCTTTTATGCATTTTACTGTTTGTAACTACACCACCAATCGGAAAGCTCTCGAGATCGACATCATGATGGGGTGTGTGATTTCACCATTTCTTTTCATTATCTCCATGGAACTCATATTACGGGGTGCAGCGGGCACAGCGAAGGGAATGATTGATGAAGAATAAATAGTCTTTCCTCCTTCCAGAGCGTTCATGGTTGACATAACCATCCTGGTTCCGTCTAAAGTCGGTGCCGATGAACTGCTGCAGTGCTACCATAAGCTCTTCACGTGGACGAGAATGAAGGCTAAACCACAAAAAATCCGGAGCTTACCATTACTTAGAAGCAGTGTCTACATTTGGAGTGACATGATCTTGACAATCAAAGAGAAGCCAATGAAGTGCTTCGGGCGGCTGTATGAAATTCAACTGATTGATAGGCACCGAGATAATGAAGTGCCGAAATTGACAATAGATGTATCCAGGGACAGAATCCACCTCTCCGGCAAACTGAAGGCTTGGTGATACCAACATGGTTTGCTGTCCCGGCTTCTGTGGCCGTTGCAGGTGTATGAATTTACTGTCTCACATTCAGCAGACATAACAGTGTATCAACATGTACCTGCGCAAGCGGCTTGGAGTCCCCACCCACCCACTGCTTCTCCACAATCATACTCTATACCAATGCCAGAAACCTGCAACTTCCCATTTCCTCACTGGTGGAGGAGTTCAAGATCAGAAAGGTACGCCTTCATAAGATAATGAAGTAATCGGCCGATGAGATCGTCCGAAGACAGATATCAAAACTGGTACCAAATGGTCAGCAGTAGAAGCCACCCAAGAGGCAGAATCCAACCGGCAAACCAAGAAGATTATTGGGGTGACCTAAATCAATCGAACTGGCTTGAGCAGCACAAGCAACCAGTTTTTTCGCGATCTAAAAGAGTAAACGAGACATATTGAAGAAATTAGGAATTCCGAGGAAGAGCAGTGAACAGCTACCGCTGTTTCTTAGTCCAAACAATGTGCTTGGACTACATAGAGTGATATTGATCTAATGATGCTATAATTCCTCCTGCGATCTATCTATGATCTCCTACCATATACGACCAATCTCAAGCTGTCGGTGTACACTGACACTAATGCATGCACATTATGTCAAAGTGATCGAAGTACTTTATGTCACGTGCTCTCTACGTGCCCACAATCACTGCAGATGTATACATAGCGTCATAACAAAGTGCTAGAAGTGGTCATGGACAATCACAATGTGAAGCAGCTAACAAACAGCTTGTAACGGGCAGAGAATCTAAGATCCGTTTTCACAAGGAAGGTGAACGCCCTCTGCGGAAGACCAAAAAAACACCTAACATGATACTACTGAGTGGAGCCCGCGATTGGAGGTTGCTAGCTGATCTTAGAACATCTCTGCAATTTCCAGTACACTTCATTCAGAGAGAAGCACGCCCTGACATTGTAGCTTGGTCGGATTCAAAGAAGTGTATCCTCCTAGTAGAATTAACGGTTCCATGGGAGAAGAACAGTGGAGAAGCGCACAAGCAATAGAAAAACCGTTACGAATCGCTGCGACCCGACTGCATGGAAAAAGGGTGGATATGTCATGTGCTACCTATTGAGGTCAGGTGCCCTGAATTCCTTGGACTGTCAATCGTTTCTTTCCTTTTGAAGGTGAACATCATTGGCTAGAACCTGAATCGTGCTTCACATCGTCTCCAGACCACAGCTCAACAGGCATCGAGTTGGATCTGGTCAAGATCCAAAATAAACAAAACCATGCTCGCAACACAATGCTACTTCCGACGTAAAACACATCTGTTTACCTTCCATTCTGTGGTCGTTATGAGTGCGTTGTTTATTGGTAAACGATGTCAACACGTTGAATATCTCAGTTGCAGCTGTAAAAATAAATTACAAGAGACGCTCACGTCTACAAAAACAATACTCAGTCCGGTGGCAAAAGCTGCCGGTTGCAGTAACGGTGGCAGTACCGCCTTAGCCACCGAAACTGTGTTATCTCCTCTGGTTGGCGGCTGACGAGGGCAGGGTATCACACGTGCTTTCACACGTTCTATCTATCTATCTATCTATCTATCTATCTATCTATCTATCTATCTATTCGTATAGTTATCGAAAGAATCAAAATAGCCTTTGACTTAGTACTTATTTTTAGATCATTTATATACTTAATTTCGTTTAAATATTTTCTTCTTTTGTAATCAGTTATTGATGACTTCCGAAAATGTTCTTTGGCCTTTGTTTTATACGGCAGGTTTTAAAATAGATGTGTAAAAATTTAGACACACTAGTTTAAATCTTCTTTTTTTTCTGTATCGGTCTTTCTGTCTTTGTGTTCCACTCCATATATATATATATATATATATATATATATATATATATATATATATGAAAAATTTCTCATTTAACCTATAGAAAAAGACAATATGTATAAAGATAAGAAGACTGTATTATTGGCCATCACGTTTCGTCCAATGTGAACTTTTTAAAGGCAAAAACGAAATGAATTTATTGAAAACAAAGTAACTATTAACAACAAGCAAAATGTCCTTAGCAAATAGAAGAATTTAGAAAACGCTGTTGTATTCATGTTGACAACTGATAATTACGTCAAGTACTATGACGTAAAATATTTAGATTCTATTTTTGTGCTGACAGATTCAACCATTTTCTTTTGATTTCTTGATACAGTTGTGTATGTTGGCTAGATGCTCGTTGAACACTTAAACTCACGTAGTTTTTCATGAAAATATTTGCAGAAAAGACAGAGGGAATCCACGTCAGGTCGGTGAGAAAGAGATGCCTGGTTAGGATCGATTACATTGCAGATCTTCCTTTGGATTTTGTCAAGAACATCGAGATGAGTAGCAGGATCATCAAACTAGATATGGTAACAGTGTTCAATGCACAGACGATTTGTAAATGTGTAAGATGGACTCTAATGAAAAATGACTTCTGGCATAACACAGTGACCCAACTTTCGTTGCAGTAGATGCAGCAATTGATTCGATGTAGCCGTTCTAAGTAAGTGGAAAACGTGAGGCCGAGAAGCCGCAGTGTGTTGCTCTTCATGAGTCTAGCATCAGCCATGCTGATGGCGGACAGGAAAGATTCTCTATGGTGGTTAAATGAGAGCAGTTTTGTTTTGTATGCATTCAAATTTATGAGCCATTTTCTGTCTTAGTTAACCACAGATTGAAGGTCGTTTTCAAGAGCAGCTGCCAGGTTAATTTTTCAGCTTTGGCGGATTTGCTATTGAGACAGGATTAAATCCTAGTGTTATCAGCATAAACACCAACTTGGGAACTGATGACATCAAGAAGATCATTGATGAAGAATCAGAGAAGGACCCAGGATAGAGCCTTTGGAAACCCACCCGTTATATGTTCATAGTGTAATTATGAATATATATAGAATTGGGGTGATGAAATTTCTAATGATTTTAAGTATTTTCCTGATATAAACGATAATGTTTAGCCACTCAAGGCATTGCATCAAAATTTTTTTCTGGAAATCATTTAAACAGATTTGTCATTATATTTTGAATCTCTTCTACTGTGGCTTATGGTCACATCACGTCGAAACACCTGTTCTCGTACGATCACCGAAGTTAAGCAATGACGTTCCTGGTCAGTATCTAGATAGGTGACCACTTGGGAATATCAGGTACTGTAAGTTTGGATATGTGTTCTGTGTAATAATAATGGCTCATAATTTTTAAGAGGTGAGCCGAGTTCCAATTCCAGTTAGGTTCATTATATTCACTTACACGCGCAAAAACTTTGGAAAGGTACGAATTCACCTCTTCTCCTCACAGCTATGGGTTATCCCCCAACCACAAAAACTTATAATCTAAAAAAATATTTTCTGCCTTTAAATAACCTGAAATGGGTCAATAAGACGTAGAAAAGAAATCAATCAATTAAACTCTTCCATTAAGAAGACATCAAGCTCTTTGGATGAAACCTTGATATAAATCGAAACATTGGTAGGAAATAAGGACAACTTTTCATGGGAATAATTTTTATTGGTTAAACATTTCATCATGGAAGCATTTCTGATTGGATCGTTGTTAATCACAAAATTTTACTGAAATTCGTTTTACAAATCTGAATTGTTATCTGAGCAAAAAACGCACCCCAAAATAAATTAACGATACAAAAACAAAATGTATTCCTCGTGTTTGGTCAAATATTGCCCTCCATTCTATTAGCTCGAGTAATATTTGAATATTTGTTTGTTTTAGGAATTAAATCAGTTCCAATAAATAATTTATTGACTATAAATGATAGTCAACTTTGACAAGAAGATCCGACAAAAGAGTTGGTGAGAGGTCATATTCAGGTTTTTCTTAAAATGGAAACTATATGACTTCGATTTTCGTATTTTGCATAATTAGATACAATATTTCCGTTCAGAATCATTCGAGTTAATCACTGAGAAAATGATATCTTATGTTATTTGAACACATAACTGACATCTTAAAATGATAGCTTATGATTTGAACACATAACTGACATCTTAAAATGATATCTTATGATTTGAACACATAACTGACATCTTAAAATGATATTTTATGATTTGAACACATAAATAATATCGTAAATGATATCTTTTGATTTGAACATATAAACGGAAAAGAAATCACGTTGTAAAATCTTATAAGTGTAAAATATTTCGTTAAGAATTTGTGCTGCCAAATGCATATTCTAGGAAAAAAAGTTATGGTCCACTTTAAACTTGAAACACTTTATCTCAACATTATGTTTACCAATATATATATATATATATATATATATATATATATATATATATATATATATATATATAATGCCATGAAATGAAAATGGAATTTTCTTAAAAGATCACAGTATAACATGTTTTTTTTCTCTTGGAAAAAGTATCTAGCTGACATGTTAGGTTCATGACAGACATATATTTGTATTAATCGATGGAGCCAAGAAAATTGTTTTATATCACTGTCGATCGGCGTGGAAATGTGAGGAGTGCAGATCGGTTGGATTTCAGAATTCAAGGTAAATAGATTATCTTTACGCTGAGAAATTACGGATACCGGGGCATTGTCTGTGTGGATAAAATAGAAATCCATCAGAATGCAATTTTCAGAAACTTTTGTCGTGAGATAAATGGTACGCTTACCTCAATCATTTCAATTACGATGGCATGAAGGAAGGTGACGGAATGCGGGAGGGTATGGCAAGTAATTGGAAATACTCGGCTTGGGGCCTGCAGGTAGATTTTAGAAAGTAAACCGCGAAGTAAATCGCACAGAGTGCTTTCTGCTTAAAACAGATGTGAAGACAGAATATAATGGCGACTCTAAAATGATACAAAGATGGAAATAATCATTCAGAATCTCAGACGTCTAAACTAATACAGATAGATATGAATTGGTTACCGTATATATATATATATATATATATATATATATATATATATTGATAATGTTAGTGGTTAATATATATATATATATATATATTTCCAATATATATAAATATCTATATATAGCTCAATGTACAGTACATACCAAGAATATAATATAAAAGGCTTAAACACTAATATTTCATGGTTATAATTTATTACATTGAAATCACAATCCAATTAATCAGACCTTCAAGACTTTTAAATTTGTAGGTCTGGTGAATTGGATCGTGATTATGATTAGAATGTAATAAATTATAACCGTGGAATATTAGTGTTTGAGCCTTTTATATATATATATATATATATATATATATATATATATATATATATATATATATATATATATATATATATATATTGTTGAAGCTTGATAAGCATGGAATAATAATAATACAACACAAAATGTACGTAAACAAAATGTATTGAAACAAGGAAAAGGTACACAATATTTACAGTTAGTTTTGGTATATTCTTGGGAAGACTGTTCCTGTAGAATGGGTTGACTTAATCGCAGTCGGGCAGAGTCTCTGGATTGAATCTCTTGTTACTTCCCGGTACCAACCCATATTTATATGGTCGGTACTCCACTATGTAAATTAGGTGGATCGTACCACAACATATATATATATATCGTAACCGATTCATATCTATCATATCTGTATTAGATATGGATGTCGGTATATATCTATTTGTGTGTATATATATATATATATATATATATATATATATATATATATATATATATAGAGAGAGAGAGAGAGATAGATAGATATGTATGTTGTATCCTTAAAGGGGTTACAAACAGAAAGGTGGTAATCGAGTGAAGGAACAGCAACACGCGCGTAGATGAAAGAAGAGAGGTTTATAGTAAAAGAGAATATACTACTGAAAGACGGAATCGGGTGGCAGGGAAGTAATTCCCCAAGCAAGTCCCAGATATCTTCTGCGTACACTATATATAACTACTGATATCGTTAGTTCACATAGGCGATAGTTTGTGTGGGGCATTCCATTACAACAATATATATATATATATATATATATATATATATATATATATATATATATATATATTACTTTAAACGTGATTTTTAGTGGGTTCCCATATTTGAGAAGACGTTTCATTTATTTTAAACAGTATCTTATTTTCTCTACCGGCAAGAAAACTCGAGACATACTACTGTAATATATCTCGAGTTTTCTTGCCGGTAGAGGAAAAAAATGTGCTCTTAAAGCTGTAGATGGGCCATATTTCTTTAATGAGAGTTCTCAAATGTTCAAGACGGTAGAAAAAAAATTAAATAGCGTTTGAAATAAATGAAACGTCTACTTATATATGTGTATCTACTAAAAATACCGCTTCTTTCTTATGTGTCGTGTCCCTTCAGGACGTAAGCGATCATTGCTCTACACTTCTTCTTGTCCCTTGTAGCTCACAATAAGTTTTGTCTCTTTGTCATTTCTCCCAAACCCTGTTCCACCATCCACTTGCTTAAGCCCGTAAAGGATATTCGCTCGTTGCTTTCCCTTCCCCCCTCTATCCGCCCTGTGAGTATTGCGGCGTACTTTGTTGAATGTCTTTGCGCAGTCTATAAAACACAGGTGCGCATTCTTCTGCATTTCTATTGCTTTCTCTGATAACATTCTGAGCATGAATATTGCGTTCCTTGTTCAGGTGTTTTTGACGAACCCGCACTGTTCTTGTCCTATCTCTGTCCTGATTCTGCTGTGCTCTCTATTCAGCAGAATTCGGATGATGAGTTTTGTTATGTGGCTCATTAGGCTGATTGTTCGGTGGAATTCACATTCGTTTGCGCCTGGTTTCTTAGGCAGTGCTAGGAAAATAGATCTGCTTAGGTCTTCCGGTTTATCCCCACTGTTGTAGATTTCATTTATTATTTCGGTAATCTTATCTATGCCAAAATAATCTAAGGCTGTCAGCATCTCTGTTACAATTCCATCTGGCCATGCTAGCTTGTTTCTGTTCAATTTGGCCAGTGCAGCTTCTACTTTGGTTGTTAGAATTTCAGGCCTGTTGGTATTGCGGGGTTATTCTCTTTCGTTGCGGAAGAGTTCTCCAATATATTCGTTCCAGCGCTGAAGAATTTTTTCCTTCTCTAATATGAGCATTCCATCCCGGGATTTTATGCAGCCTGTTGACGGGAATGTCTTCTGTCCTGTTAGTTGCCTTATTTGTTTATGCATATCTCCTTTTTCAATGGTACTCAATCTATTTCTGTTTAGCCATTCTTTAGCCTGTCTGCATTTGGTCCTTATTTCTTCGTGTAGTTTTTCTGTATTCCATTTTGTATCTTTTGCATTGTTTCCTGTCTCCTTATCATAATGTCGAGAATCCCATCAGTGAACCATTCGTTGTTTATTCTTCGTCTATTCTCCTTTGGCATAATTATCGTTTACAGTTCTTCCCTTAGTGTGTCTAATTTCGAGCTTCCATTTCCATTTTGTGCCTCGTATCTTCTTTTTCCACTGATCATATATCTTTAATTCAAGTTCCGGTCGCTCATGAGTTTGTTGTATTGCAATTTGGCTGCTGAGTTAGGCTTCAGTTTCCGTAGTTTCACTCTTATTTTACATATAACAGGGCGAGGGTCGCTTTCGCTGTCGGCACTTGGGTAGGTTTTGTAGTGAAAAAAAAAAAAAAATTTTTTTTACAGTAATAAAAATATATCGGATTATATATATATATATATATAATATATATATATATATATATATATATATATATATATATATATATGTGTGTGTGTGTGTGTGTGTGTGTGTGTGTGTTTTAGTACTCTGCCTCTCTTTTGTAAGGTACTAGAAACTCTAATAAAAACAATTCTTGTGCTTATTTTTCCCCGAAGCTGGCATTTCTCGTGATTAAAGAAAGAAAATGATTGACTTTTTAAAAAGCCGTTAATATTTATTCTGTATCTTTTCTTTATAATTCTTTGTTCGGATATTGCTAATGTATATTTGGGATGCACCTTTGTTTTTAAACACCATATTTAACGATATATATATATATATATATATATATATATATATATATATATATATATACTAGCAGTAGAGCCCGGCGTTGCCCGGGGATGTAACAGTAAGAGATAGATCAAGTATCGACCATCATAAACATTGAAAAAAAAAATGACAAAGATTATTGTTTAAGGTTGACGGACACGCATGTCTTAATTAGTTTTATTCTTTGTTTTTTTTTTTTTTTTTTT